TAAGCCTGAGCGACAGCTCCGTATTTGGAAGGTAAAGAAAATGAGCTAGCAGTTTCAATGGACACAAGAAAAAGCCCCCACTGGCTGAGAGAAATCCCTAGGGCGAGGAGGGATGCTCCAGCCAGTTGCTCAGTGCTTCACTAGCAAGGCTGATAATGGGGCGGGATGGCTGCTCCTTCGGACGCATTGTGCCTGCTATGTGGTATTTTCCCCCTGTGATCCTTGGCTAAATACCATCTCATTGCACGCGACCCCCATCTCTCCCCACCCCTTTCCCCTATGTCATTATGAAAGCCCCACATCTGATATTAATCTAAAACTTCCTTGATTCTTTAAAGTGAGTTATTCATTAACAAAACCTAAAGGACTGGTTGGTAGCAAATCCAATTCTTTCACACTCCAAACGCGCTCCGAGAAGCGGCTGTAAATCTACCAAAGGCATAAGGGAAGCTTTGTGTGGATGGTTAGATCTCAACAGAAGTTCAGAAAAGGGAGAAAAGTTACTCATTCGCCGGATACCACTCGGTGAGTCCCTGGGAGGGACTCTAGTGCAGAGTCAGTTTGACAAGCACACAGGGAGGTGCCAACAGCCACCGACAGGACAGGCAGGCACTTCGGGGCTGCCTCTGAACGTGGTCCTGGGTCCCAGCTGAAGTGCTCTAAGGATCGAGCCTTTGCCTTCTGTTGCCCGCACCTGCCAGGGTCCTGTGTTAGGAGGTATGCCTGTCTTCTCGCCTGTCCTTTTGTTCGGCAGAAACAAAAGCTAACCAAAGCAAAGGCCAGAAACTGCAGGGAGGCAGGAACCGAGGGGCTGGGGAAGCAGGGCAGAGAGAAACTTCCAAGGGCTGGCTGGCTACGCAGACAAAGTGCAGTTAGGAGTTCTGTGTGTGCACGTTTTAATCTTTAGGGTATGAATATCCACTTTTCTGTGGGTGATTAAAACATGTCTCTAAGCGCCTAGGGCCAGGGAACCGCTAGATTCCTAGTGTGCACATTCTGTTTTACTCCTTAGTAAAACATAGCTATGGTCTCCTTGCCACACATCCATACCTTAGAGAGCCGTTTGCAGTGAGCAGAGGAACCGTCCCTGCTATTAGTTTTGCAGAAAGCTAAGAAGCATCATTCCAGTCAGTAGGTTGGACACTCATGGTTACTGTTCATCATTGCTGTGTGTGTATCTTACAAATCATGATCTAATCTAACCACTTCTTTGTTCTTTCAAATGCACGTTTAAATCAGCATAATGACCAACAATTTGCTTCCATGTAATCCATTTTTTAAATATTGTAAAGACAGGAAATTATTTGTTCAGCAGCTATAATACTGGGAATCTAAATGAAACAATCATATGTTCAACGCTGAGTGTTCCTCATGGTTTGAGAATTTGGACATGCTTCCTAGAAAAAATAAACCAAGCAGAATTTGAATTCGGATTTTTAAAACCAAGATATATGTTGTTCTAGGGAAAATATGACCTGCCAAGTCAGAAGCTCCAGGTGAAAATTGATACACTATGAAACCATCCTGAACAACCACGATGTTTTAGACTTTAAAATGATTGCCTCTCATTGCCCATAAAAGGAGACGTTTCTTCTCCACTTGTGTTCAAAACTTGCAATCTGTATTTAAAATGACATGCTTGATCTTTTGTCTAAAAAGATGACAAAACTTACATATGTATGTTCTTATAATATGCTAGCTACAAATTCGGACTTACAAATTTTGGCAAAAAATCCTGAAGTCCGGTTCTCTTAGAGCTGTTTGGGATAAGCTAGCATTGGAGGCTTCTGGTACAAGTGAAATGCAGCCACGGGCCACAGCAAAGGGACCCAGAGCTGCCCAGGGAACAATAGCCATCTGTGGGAAGGGCTGAAATATATTCTGGCGATTCCCATGGGAACGCCTGCAGACTTTTCACACTGTGTGGAAAAGATGTTCCCTCAAAAGAATCTTTAATCCTTTCTTTCAAGAGAGAAATCTATCTGGGAAATTTATTCAAAGTTTCTTAGCATCCAAATGGGCCCAAGTGAGTCAGTAGGCATTTTAAAATCAGGTAAATGAAAATGTTTTGAGGCAGAATCCTGTTGTTCATAATATAAACCTTGCTGTTCCAGAATTTTCTGAAATAGGAAATCAGGCCTTTTCTAACCTGAGTTGTAAGGTGGAAGCTTGAATTCCTCGGAACAAATCAGGTTCTGAGCATTACAGTTATCTAAATCGTCCCCTAAAGAGCTTTCTGTGTTTGGCAGACACTGTCCCAGTAGTAGAGAGACTGAGTCCTGTGGTTTCTTTCATACAGCAGAACCTACAGACCCGTGAGCGGGTAAATTATTAATGTATTTATAAGTGAACAATAAGTATAGGTCACCTTGAAAAGTCACCAAGAATGTACCTGGCTCTCTGGAACGGCATTCCCTTCTGCCTGGTGAAAAACAGAGTACATATTATACTAATATGAAAAACACAGGTGTTCAGGTTATCCAGCCATTAAAAAATCTAAAATACATTGCACCGTAGTCTGTCTCTGGTCTGTAAACTAAACCACTGTTATTATTAAGCCATGGTGGAGGTAAGAAGTCTACAGTATGGCTACTTCTCCAAGAAATAAGAATTGCCCTCAAATCCACATGGATCCAGTTAAGTTAGTAACATCATCCTGAAAACAAAATAAGAAACTTCCAGTTAAGTTAGTAAAATTTGTATGATACAAATGGATTATATCCAGATTTAAGACTGGGAGAAAGTACAACTAAATATATAATTAGAAATATATATATATATATATATAGAAAATAACAGCAACAAAAACCCTAAGTATCTTTACACTAAGAACTGAATTTAGTTAATAGTATCATTTGCTATTTAAAAGGTATGCCGTCATAAGGAGTTAATGGGAAAATATCTATAAGAATAAAAATGCCCAAGATCTGGAGGGATAAAGTTTTAATTCACCTACTCAGGGGCTGAGGCAGAGAGATCACAAATTCAAGACCAACCTGGCTACAGTGAGTTCAAAGCCAAGCTGGGCAATTTAGTGAGAGCCTGTCCCAAAATAAAAAGTAAAAAGAAGGCTGATGATATAGCTCAATGAATGGTACAGTGCTGGCCTGACCCACATGAGGCTTTAGGTTTCATTTCCAGTACAGGAGAAACAGAAGAATACTCGGAAAGACAATTTTGACGCCACTTTCGTTTTATACAGCATCAAAGAGGCTAATTCACTGCCCAAGTCTGCACTGCAGCACGGCATAGCTGAGATTGAAGATGGGGTGTCTCTGGGTCCCCACACTCATATGACTGCCTCTCTTGCTGGTGTCTATGGGACGTCAAGTTCCAAACCCTATATGCTGCACACATTTAAGAACACTGAAAAAATTTAAGGATTTCAAAATCAGCAATCAGGAGAGTGAAGTCTATAGGACTCTACTCGAGTCCACCCCATTGGGGTACTTTGCAATCATCTTCTAAACTGGAAAATTACTAAGAAAGGATACACTTTGGGGACAAGGGCTGGCATCTCCATTTTATCAAGGAACGCTTCATGTGGACAGTTCTGCCCATGAGGACAGTGAGAAAATATGATCGTGGGATTCTCCTCTGTGTGCTGTGAATATGTTTTATTACCATTGGTTAATAAAGGAGCTGTTTCAGCTGGTGCCTTAGCAGAGCAAAGCCAGGAGAGAAATCTGAACAGAGATATATATAGAGGGAGAGGAGGTGGAGTCAGGGGGATGCCATGTAGCTGGACTGATGCCCAGACCCTTTACCAGTAAGCCACAACCTTGTAGCGATATGCAGATTAATAGAAATGGGCTAATTCAAGATGTAAGTGCTAGCTAGAAATACTCCTGAGTCATTGGCCAAGCACTGTTGTTATTAATATAGCTTCTGTGTGGTCTGGGGGTGGCCAAGAAAACAAACGAACAGTCTCTGCTTATAGAATGCCAAGTGTCTAGTGCGATTTATGGCACTATTCTCTCAGAATGTTATTTGTAGCCCCTGACCTCCCTTTATGGGAAGCTGTGTCTATATCTTTGTCATCCTGAAGATAGGCTTACCTGCAGGAGAGCCACCTTCATGATCCCACCGGAGGTGGATTAAAAGAATACAGTTCTTTTTTAGTTTTTAATGTGTGCCCAGCTGTTTAAACAATCCAGAGGCTGGGTATAGTGCTCACATATTTAATCCCAGCACTAAGATGGCAGAGGCAGACTCTGTGAGTACAAGGCCAAGCTGGACTACATAAGAAGTCTGGTCTAGGCCAGCCAAGGCTTAGATCACACACACACACACACACACACACACACACACACACACACACACACACACACGAGAGTTTAGGATGTCAACAGATTAAGCAAGATAAACGTTTTCCTGGCTCTTGTAGCAATACTTAAAAATACACCGTAATATTTTATCCATGTAGATCAGGGGTTCTCAACCTGTGGGTGTCGACCCACTTGGGGGTCAAATGACCTTTTCACAGGGGTCACATTATCAGATATCCTGCACATTAGATATTTACATTATGACTCATAACAGTAGCAAAATTATGGTTATGAAGTAGCAACGAGAATAGTTTTGTGGTTGGGGGTCACCACAGTAGGAGGAACTATATTAAAGGGTAGAAGCATTAGGAAGGTTGAGAACCGCTGATGTAGATGATCACGAAGAACTTTGCAGAGTGGAAAATGAAGGTTTCGGGGAGCGAGCTTGTTCAGTCCGCTAGCTACTCCCTACATCCTTAAACTTGCTAGAGGACGGACGAGAAGGCCATTTCTCCCAGGCAGTGACTCTACCCAGACAAGGCTGGATGTTCTGAACTCGCGTGTCTCACTGGGGAGGTGTTTTGAAACTCGTGTGTTCCGCTGGGGCACGGCCAACCCATCACCTGCTCCAACCTGGCCTACCTACCAGACCGGCTTCCTGCGTGGCTTCCCCACCCCCACCCAATCTCGGAAGGGAAGTGTAGATTTCCACGAACACAGGGCGTTCTGTCTTCTCGGTCGGCCACGGCTCGCCCTTCCTGGAGCTGCCTTTGTACTTGGAGGTAGCTTGCTCTGCGAGCCAGTCACCTGACCCGTCCCGGGAGCAGCCGGTGGCTTCCGCCACATTCCTAGAATTCTTCCTCGCGGCTCCGGTGGGTGGACAGCTGCGGGTTCTCTGAGCTGTGCTGACGCCGACTGTCCGCCTCCCGCCCCGGCTAGAAGCTTTCGGCCAGTGACAGCAAGTGAGCCCGGGAGGAGTAGCTCGCAGGTAAACTGAGTTTGCGGGGACAGCTGCGACTCCTGAAATGGGCCGCTCCACGCGGAATCACTCTTCTTTTTGTCGCGCCTGTTTTTTTTTTTTTTTTTTTTTTTTTTTTTTTTTTTTTTTTTTTTTTTTTTTTTTTTTTTTTTTTTTTTTTTTTTTTTTTTAGGAAAGTTAACTTGTCAACCAACTGGTACCTCCTTAAAAACAAACAAATTTAAAACTAAGGAAAGAGCATAGGTCCCAAGATAGGTTCCCTAACCCATCGAGGGGAGCAAATGGAGAGAAATGAAAAACGCTGAGTTAAAAAGACAGTTTATAAAACAGATCTCTTCTTGATTTTGCGTAGCCTCAGGAACGGCATTTAAAGAAATGAATGGGTCCTGCTCTATACCCACCTGCAAGGCTAGTGGGCATACCGAGAAGTGCCTAGGCGAGAGCTTAGCGCACAGAAGGGACTTGAGTATGCACACAGATGCACACGCATGTTTCATGTGTGCACATATGTGCCTACCGTGCATGTACATATATGCATATATCTGCTCCACAGTACTACAGTTTCTAGAAAGGTAAGTCGTACAGATGAGGCAGATTTGACCAGGCTCAGGCCAGGGGTTCAGCTTAGGTTACAAAATAAACAAGCAGGAGAAACCAGACATCTAAGCAAAACATTGACCAGAAAATAAATAAATGCTTTGCCAAATCCTAATTCAGGAGGAAAAAAAAAACCTTCAGTGAAGGGATGAGGAGGCAGTTCAGTCATAATTAGCAAGTATGGTAATGCAACCAGAGTGGAACACTCCTTCCTTTGTGACGGGAATGGGAAGCAGCTCCAACTATGGGTGCTGTCTGTGACTCTATGTGTGGTATCTATGACTGACTTCCAAAGGTCCCGGGAGGGCTTTGTGCCTGGAGACCTCCAGATTTCTGTCCTAGCTCCGCAGCTGTTCTTTGGGCACCCGAGCTGCTGCTCATCCTGATCTCTTAGTGTTAGGTTTTCATCGCGCGGCTTCTCCTAATCACGTGACTCAAAACTTGAGAAACACTCGGAATAACGCTCGAACACGGTTGTGTAGGGAGAAAGGCGGGGGTTTTATTTCTTGCCTATTGTGTCTGACACCCTTTATCAAAAGACAGGCAAAGGAGGGAGTATTAGATCACCGTTCTATGTAATGCGAGAGCTTTCAAGTTGAAGACCCATACACTCAGAGTGAACTGTTTGTTTTTTCAAACTTAAGTTCGGTGATGCGTAAAGAGTCACATGGAAGTCTGACAGGACAGAAAGGGCCTGATATAACGCTAACAGGCTGACTGGGGAAGCCCAGCAAGGGCTTTCTTCTCTTCAGAGCTTTCCTCGCTCCTCTGTGTAGCATGCCTTCTTGGTTACAGGACACAGAAAGTCTTACCATCAGGAAAGCTATGGTAGAGAACGCCAGACCTAGTGCCAACACAGGAAAGCAAGAGGAGACTAGAGTGTTGTTCCTTGCCTTGGGGGTTTGTGTTGCGGAAAGGGGTTCTAGTTTTGGTTATCTACCCTAGAGAAGAGAGATTCTAGTTTCTGTGCCTTGTTTTTTCGTGGGAAGGGGGTGGAGAAAAGGAATCAAGGAGGACACAAAGTCATGGTGAAACTTTACTCCAGGCAGCCTCTAGAGCCTTCATTTTGGGGTATTATTTTCTTAATCCCAATAGTCTTCTTTAACAAAGGGATGTTTTACACATCATCACCGTTGATCTTTAATACAGCCTGATAGAATAGTCCCCATTTTACAGATGACACACGGAAAAGATGACCATGCACCCGTGGTCCTACAGCAGCCTAGCCAAGAATCCCATCCTCACATAAAAAAGCATCCCTGGCTCTGAGATTAGCACATGCATGTTGAGTGAAATCTGTAAATATCTTGGTACCCGAAATGATACTGCTCAAATGCCATTTCCTCTACCGAGCTTTTAGTATCATCTGCTAACGGAGGCCTGCCTTTGACCCCCTCACTCTTTCTGGCAGAGGCTTTCTCTAGATCGTCTCCACAGAGCAGACTATTTTGGTCCACCGCCATTTTAAGGAGGAAGGGCCTCTTTCAGCTTACAGCTCCAGGGGATACAGTCAATCATGGTTGAGAAAGTACGGCATCGGGAGCAGGGGGGGGGGGGGCAGCTGGTCACGTGGCATTTAGAGACAGGAAACAGGAAGCAGGATTATGCTCTGCTCACTTGCCCCGTTGTATTCAGTCTGGAACCCCAGCTCAAGGACTGGGGCCACCCAGATAGAAAATGGGTTGTCTCACCTTGACTGACCTAGTCTGGATAATTCCTCAAAGAGGTACCCAGAGATTAGTTTCCGCAGTGGATTTCAGTCCCCTCAACTTGGTAATCAGTACAAACATCATGGTACTCAAAATGTTTTCACATGAAGGGGACTTAAGAAGAGTAGATCAAGTTGGAAGCACACCTGTGAGGCTCCAGGGCAGGCATCGTGTAGAGTGTGATGGAACTCAGGGAACAAGCACCCTGGGTGTACTTCTGCCCCCTTACAGATCCCATCTCTGATGTGTCTGTGGCAGCCCAGGCTCTCTGTGATGTGCAGACATTGTCCTGTGTCTAGAGGAAAAACTTATTTCTATCTGTAATGGATTAAGTAAAAATGCATGCCTTGGTGGATGGGGAAGGGAGTGGGCATGGCTTGTCTCTTAAAGGGACAGAGCAGACCATTACACTATCCCGTCTATGTTTCTGGCTATTATTTTGTGGAGATTATCTCTTGATGTATCTGCAACTGGAAAAAGAATATGTTAAAAACAGAACTAACCTTTTAAGATATTCCAGGTCACCATTCCTCATTTTTCCAGGAGGCATACTATCTTGGGATACAGTCACTCTGCCCTTCCCCTCCCCATCAAAGTTTCCCCACCACTCCTCCTTATAAATTCCAGAGCTCCTCTTTCTTCTGATTGTCCTGCTCCCGGGCTCTTGTGAACCCCAGGGTATCAATGAGCAAGGATGCAGGAGGGAAGATGCAGTCATGTTTCTACCAATTCGCTCTGCCCACACCTTCATTCTCAAATGTTTAGCATTACTCTAGAGCAGTGGTTCTCCACCTTCCTAAGGATGGGACCCTTTAATACTGTTCCTCATGTTGTGATGACCTCCAACCATAAAATTATTTTCATTGCTACTTCATAACCCTAATTTTGCTACTGCAAAATATAATATAAATCATAATATAAATACTGGTGTTTTGTGATTGTCTTAGGTGACCCCTGTAAAAGGGTGGTTCATCCCCAATGGGGTCAAGACCCACAAGTTAAGAATCGCCGCTTTAGGAGAGTTGTTCCTAATAGTGGCCATACATTTACTTGGCACCAACTCCACTTCTCTGTGTTCAGTGAGTTGTGTGGGTGGCATCTTCAGCAATGGGACCCTGCTGTCAATTTGTGGAGAGCAGCCTGTTGCCTCAGCAATAGCCTGGTTTGTTTGGGGATTCCCATGGGACTACTTCGTCAAATATCTCAATTAGATGTAACCCAATCTTGGTTCTGGAAGCCTCATTTGGTGACAAAACAGTCAGGTGGGATTCTGTCTCCTTCATTATTTGGTGATATCATTTATATAGCCTTCATATTTGTACACATTTTAGAAAGTTTCTTCTATATTAGGTTCCCGTACTGCCCCTCAATGTCCCTTAATTTTAACTACCTCTCACCATATTCCTTCCCTCAGTCCCCCTCTCTTCTCCTTTCCCCCAATTTATCCTCCTACACAGCCCCCCATCCATCCACAATTATCTATTTTATCTCCCGTTCCTAACAAGATCTATCTGTACCGTCTAGTCCCTTCCTCTGTACCTAGCCTCTATAGTACTATGGGCTGCAGCTTTATTATCTTTGATTTAATAGCTCACATCCACATATAAGCAAATACACACTGTATTTGTCCTTCTGGTTCTGGGCTACATCATCCAGAATGAACTTTTCTAGTTGCATTCATTTTCCATTAAAATTTCACAATGTCACTTTTAAATGGTATTTTTTAACTACTCCAGTGTGTAAATGTCCATTTTCTTTACCCTTTCTTCTGTTGAGGGATACTTAGGTTGTTTCCAGCTTCTGGCTATGTGAATAGAGCAACAATGAACATAGTTGAGTAAGTGACTTTGTCGTGGGAGGAATCCTTTGGGCATATGCCCCAAAGTGGTATAGCTGGATCTTCAGGTAGATCACTCCCCATCTTCCTGGGAAACCAACACACTAATTTCCATAGTAGCTGTGTAAGTTAGCACACCCACCAGCAGTGGACGAGTGTTCCCCTTACTCCATATTCTCCCCTGCATGGGCTGTCACTTGTTGTGTTGACCTTAGTCATTCCGACAGGTGTAAGATGAAATCTCAAAGAAGTTTTGATGTGCTAAGGATGTGGAAATTGATTTCAGTGTTTCTCAGCCACTTGAGCTTCCTCTATTGAGAATTTTCTCTTTGAATCTGTACCCCATTTTTAACTGGATTATTTGTTTCTTATTATCTAGTTTCTTGAGTTCTTTATATATTTTGGATATTAACTCTCTGTCTTGGTTAGGGTTTCTATTGCTGTGAAGAGACATCACAACCATGACAACTCTTTTAAGGAAAAGATTGAATTGAGGTGGTGACTTACAGCTTCAGAGGTCCAGTCCATTATCATCATTATGGGGAGCATGGTGCCATGCAGGCAGACATGGTACTGTCTACATCTTGCTGGCAACAGGAAGTGGTTTGTCTCACTGGGAGTAGCTTGAGTATAAAAAACCTCAAAGCCCACTCCTATAGTGACAAACTTTCTCTCACAAAACCACACCTACTCCAATAAAGCCACACTTCTAAAGTGCCCCTCCCTTTGGGTGCCATTTCTTTCAAACCACCACACCCTCTATCATGTGTGCAGTTGTTTAAAACAAAGCAAAACAACAACAACAGCAAAACCTTTTTCTATTTTATAGGTGGCTGCTGCTTTGTCCAGCTGATGATATTCTTTCC